GGTCAGTCTCTTCTCCCAAGTAACAAGTGACAATGAAAGGAAACAACCTCAAGTTGCAGCAGGAGAGATTTCATTTGGATATTAGGAAAAATTTTTCCACTGAAAGGGTTGTTGAGCACTGGAACAGGCTTCCCAGGGAAGTGGTGGTATCACCAGCCCTGAAGGCATTTAAAAGAGATGTAGATGTGGCAGTTAGCATCACAGTAAAGTGGTAGAGTTGGCAGCATTAATAAAGGGTTGGACTTGATGACCCTAAGGATGTTTTCCAAGCTAAATGATTCTATGAAATTATTGTATACATTAGGCAGGAAAGATCACACAGGCAGTTTTCATACTCTGCTAACAGCTGACAACTTGTTAGTCCACCCAACTGTGGATCTATTGTGAGACAGAAACTTCATGATAAATCCCACAATAAGCAGTGCACACTCCTCCATCTGAATGATGTCGACACAGCCTACAACTGTCCCACTTCCTTTAACAGGTTTATGGTAATGTTCACTTCACTTCGATCTTCTCTCGAGATCACAGGCTGGCTTGCTGAGGTCTTCACCCTGAACAGAATCACACAGGCAGGTCTTTCCATCAGACCTGAGTACTGGCTACCTCGTGAGCTAGAGGGAAAAACAAGGGTGAGGGAAGAACACTGGTGCAAACAAATACTATGAGGCAACAATGACATCTCTCCCCCTGCAGGCAGAAAATACCTCAAGTTACCTGTTTCGCTCGTAACTTCTGTGATGAGGCGATATCCTTCCTCTGTCATAATCTGTCCGGTGCCGACTGCTCTCCTGCCTCCTCCTATCTGGACTCCGGCCTCGATCCCGACGGTCCCCATGGTTAGCAGACCGATGCCTGTCCCCGTGGATGTGACCGTGTTCACGATGTCGGTGCTCATCATAGTGCTTGCTCCTGTCTGGAGACCGCCGATCACTTTGAGGCTTCTCTCCCTGGTACTGACCCGTGTGCCGAAAATGGCTGCTGCCACCACTGCTGTTGGCAGTGCTGCTCTGGAAGGAGCCAGAGTTGTGCTGATAGCTGTTGAAGCTAGGTGGTGGGAACGACTGCTGGGAGTATCCCGTGGAGTACACAGGTTGGTAGTTGACCTGCTGTGGCATGACTGGTGGGGGAGGAGGGTGCGGTACTGTGGGAGGAGGCATCATGTATGGAAAGGTGCTTTGTCCAGCAGGAGTTCCTGGCACAGGGGTGTTGCTAGGATTTGGCACTGGTGGTGGAGCAGGAGGGAAACATGGAGGCACTGGGAAGCTCTGCCTCATCTGATGGTTAGGAAATGGTGGCCTCATGGGACACTGGCTGATGGGATTTTGTGTGGAAGGGGGCACTGGAGGAGGATAGGGCACAAAGTCTGGCCTGGGAGGCATGTAACCATTGGCTGGAGGGTTTGAATAGGTTGTTGGAGGGGCAGTTTGCTGGTCATACTGGTACTGTATGGAGGGCTGCTGTGGGTGAAGCTGCCGTAGGTTCTGAGGGCGGTAGGTCTGCGTTGAAGTTCTTGCTCCTGGTCCCCCTTGACCACGGGGACATCCTCGTCCAGAATGGAAAGACATGGCTCACCTTTAATGAGGAAAGTAAAAGTCCAGTGTCACACAATTTTTGTAAGATGTCCTTACTGCATTTGCAGGAACTAATCCTAAAATGCTGAAACTATAGTTTTTGCAGTTTCCTTTAACAGAAGCAGTAAACAATGTCCACCAACTTTCACTGGGAGCTTTGTGCTCCTCAGACCTCTAGTACAGGTCATTTATGTCTCTTTGATTCCTTTAAGCCTCTAATCCATGAATGCACTCTACAGTCTTTCTACCAAAGCTGGACCATGCTTTCTGACTTAGAGCAATGTTAATTTCAAAAAACTATTGATATGATGACTGGTCAAGGATTCAAGCACCTCTACTAGTACTTAGAAACTCTGACATAAAAACCTCAGATACCCCACACCGAAGAAACCACTCATTATTAATAATTGCAGTTGTCATCCAAAGTTGCATAAAAAGGAGTTCTTTGTAGAACACAATTCTAAACTTTGGGCAGAATGACGTGACTAACGCTCCATTGCAAGTTACCTGGTCTAACAAATCACGTAAACTTTAAATGAGATAGTAGTAATTTACATTCACAACTGAGTCCCCAATTTACTAAAGGACTAAATTCAACAGACCCTTCAAAAAATTTTAAGTGAGGTAGGTATATTTTTGTTGAATGTGAATCTTACAGGTTACAGAAAACAATTTTGTGTAGTCTATGCTATTCCTTCATTTTCATTGAAATAAATGGTTCCAAAGAAATCCCTCAGCTGCCCTCTTGGCCTTGTTACCTTTCAGGAATTGCCACTGCTTCAAGAAGGCTTAAGTGTTGCTCAAAGCTACGCATGTATTTAAGGCATTGTATTAATGTTTATAAATGAAAACCACCGTGCTTCATCAGTTAAAATTGATTCTTTAATTACAATGTTAAGTTTCAAAAACTGAAAAAAGGGGGAAAAAACCACTTTATGGTTGGAATAGAGGGAGAGGGAAAAAAATTAGCTAAGCACCCACAGAACTGAAATCCTGTTTTCCATAAAGGGAAGTGAGAGAAAGAAAGGGAAGACACAGACAATTGGAAAGATCACCAGAAACACAAAGCAAAGCCTCCCTTTTAATGAGGCTTTCCTGATGGTGAAGTACATGCACAGAACATTCTCCCACCTGCTATAGTGCAACATGGCCAACCTGGACTGCTCAGAGCACTACCCTCAGCTGCACTTCGGTGCCACTGCAGCAAAAGATGTAGCTCTTGCTGAGAGAAAGCAGACAACTTCTGGTGAACTGCAGGGAGAAAGGAAAAGAGGGGAAAAGTACTGACATCAAAGAGGAGGAATCAAGAGGACCCTAAGACTCTCCTTACATATGCAGGGTTTATTGGAAGCCTCTGGAATTGGTGGCAGTGATATTCATTCCCTCTCCAGAACAATCAAATGCCAAAGTAAGTGAGAATCCCACACTTCTAGGAAGCAGCAGCCACAATGGTATAAAGTCATTTGTGCCTTTCAGTCAGCCTGTACCTGCTCAGTACCCTCCAACTTTGTAAAGGCTCTCAAAAAAAAAAAAAAAAAAACAGGGGGAAAAAAGTCAACTTCCATTATTTCATACAGCAATAGTGCAACCTTCTGTTATTAATAATTCCGTTGCATTACATACTGAATCAATTTTGCTTTAGTTCTCTTGTCATGCTCTTACACAGCTCATGCTTGTAACAGTAAACTGTTTCAGACTTTGCTAACATTTACATACATATTTTATTTAAACAGGCTGAGTTAAACCCTTAATTAAAGCAAAGGTCACTGTACCACAGTGCCTTGTCTTTAAGTGTGTTTCTTTTTAATATGTCATAGCATTCAAAGAACAGGTTTTCTTTATCAGCTCTCTTAAATAGGCTCTAAGATCTCCTCAACATCAGAGAACTGCTTTGCTTCTACCACCTTAATTTCACTCCTTCAGAATGCACAGAATCACAGCTGGAAAAAGAAATTCAAAAAACACAAGAAACTATTTTAAATTACTGAATTAAAGATCCCTCTGCTGCAAACTCTAGTCACATCCAATTTTTACTTAAAGTTAGGTAAGTACAAAAACATCAAAAAGCACAAACTCCCCTTTTCCTGTCACCTAGAAGAGGAAATGTACTGCACTGGTGGGGGCCGTTGCACATTAAAACAACACTGGTTCCCTAAAAAAGACTGAACAAACTCGCTTCTCCCTGACGACACACCTCTGACAGCAACAGGGCACCGACACATCTTGAGCAGACTGAGAGGGGACCTCTTCAATGTCTCTACGTATCTAAAACGGGGGTGTCAAGAGGATGGAGCCAGGCTCTTCTCGGTGGTGCCAAGCAACAGGACAAGAAGCAATGGGCAGAAATTGATGGACAGGAAGTTCCACCCGAACACGAGGAAGAACTTCTTAACTCTGCAGTGACCGAGCACTGGAACGGACTGCCCAGGAGAGCTTGTGGAACCTCCCCCACTGGAGATATTCAAGAACCATCTAGACGCAATCCTGTGCCATGTGCTCTAGGACGACCCTGCTTGAGCAGGGAGCTTGGACCAGATGACCCACTGTGATCCCTTCAAACCTGACCCATCCTGTGACTCTGTGACACCCGTCCTCCCGACTGC